CAAAAATCTATAAAAAATTACAAAATTATCAAAATATATGAACCAAACACAATGCAATATTTATTATTTACCATTTTATAAATAACTATAAAAACAAGTTTTTAATCAATCTAATAAACAAATAGTGTTTAATATCTTTGTCAATTCTCAAGAATGAAGAAAATGTTTGAATATATTTTCATATGTTTGGGTTTTATTAAAATTCTAATAATCACAATAAACATTGTGGTGGGAGTCAAAAGAGTTTACAGTAATATCGGTTTCAAGGGAATAACCATCTTTTTGATACACTTTTTTTTGCTTTTATAGCAGGCACAAAGTTTAAATATTGCCCAAAATTTGTTAAATTTTAAGTTTGTTAGTGAGAAATATAATCAAATAATTTGAACAATAATAGATTTGCTGAAAATTATGAAATACCTATAAAATTAGTAGTCTTCAATCCCATTAAACATATTAAGAAACTTTTACGACATATATTGATTTCCAATCACAGTTAGGATTTTACAAAAGAGATGATATCATGTGAAACCTATCAGCTTCTTTCATGTGCCATATCTCTTCAGGACGTGTATGGTCATGGTTCTCCTCAACTTCCTGTTCCTTCTAGCTCTAAGCAATTTTTGACGCTTTACCATCTCTCTTTGTCCCCAATCTGTTATCCATTCTCACATACTTGTTAGGTAGGTTACTCACTTTCCCCTCTGTCCCTCCTGCCTTCAGTATTAAAGTCTCCAAGCCTTCTTTCCTCATTATGTGTTCCAGAAATGTCTACCATTTCTTTCTGATTTTAAGCATGTATCCTTTTAGTAGTACATTAAAAAATATTATGTTGCATAGTTTTCTAACAAAATCTGAAAATATGCCTTATTCTTACTACAAGTGAATTTGTAGAATTTTATAAGCATTAAACTGATTGTGAGAGAGAAAGACTTCTTTTAAACATATAATGAGTATCACCAAACTAAAAATAAAGATTTTATGTCCTCTCAACATGCAATCCTAAGCAGTAATAATTGACCTACACAAGCAGATAGACTTGTAGCTTTCATTTATCCTACATCTTCACTTAAGACAAAATGTAACAAAAGATTATTTTTTTAATCAGAGCTTTTTGTAAACTAATTGAAAGACTGAAACCTTTTATAAGACAAAGATCTAAGGGGGATAATTGTCACAGTCATTTAAAATAAACTTGCCCAGCTTAAATTTTATACTAGATTTTTAAACTTTAAAATGTAGACACGTTTTAGTATTTTCATGATTATTATTGCTTTCATGTTTTTATTTAGTATTTTAAATATTTTTTCAAGCTTTCAATAACTCAATTTTTTTTTTAAAAAAGTAACGTTTCTATTACATTTTATTGTTTGTTGTATTGAATATAAATAGAGCTAGATGGCTGTTTCAAATTTGAACTTGAAAAGTCAGGCCAACTAGAAGAATATCCTGATAATCAAGCTAGCCACTGATAGCTGAAATCACAGCATAAAAAATTCATCTTTTTCAAAAATCAATTCATAATTTTAAACTTTGATGAATAATTTGATTTAAGATATTGAATAAAAAAATTTTTCTAGGAAATTGTTATTTATGGACAAAACAAATAACCTGAATTAAATCTAAAACATCCAAATTTTATACTTTTTTTTTATATTCATCTGTTATTTCCTTAGTGGTATATTTTATTCATAAAAAAGTATCAATATGGTTTTTAAAATGGACATTTAAAAAAATATATATTTGAGATTTACCACTTTATGGGGAGTAATTTTTTTTCTTTACCATTATATTTTTAATATATTATATCTGAAAATAACATTTTTCAAATATTTCCTAAAGCCATAATAAAATGTTGTACCACTCAATAAAATTATTTTAAGAGTATTAAAATTAAGAATAAATGCTACCCAAAAGGATTTCATGCAACAAAGAAAACAAATAATTTTCAAAATTGTATTTGAATGTCAAACAGCAACTCACTGTTGATTTATGTGATAATGTTTTATGTTATAAATCGTCTTTAATATTTCTTGTTGAACTGATAAGAAAGTTCATGACCAGAACAGAAATTATCCACATTTGCACTGGATAATTATTTTCAAATAATGCAGAAGACAAATTTGATTATTAGGGCTACTAACAAAACAAACATTTTTGATAAGGTATCGTCTTGGAGTTTGGCAAACAAGTCTTTTTATTACACATTTTTATAAAACGTTTTATGAATTTTTAAACCAAAAGTATGTTATTATTTAGTCAATTATGTAATTATAAAATTTATGAAATGTCTTTTTTTTTTTTTTTATCATAACAACTACAGATTACTCTTCGTTTTAAAACTGTTTTCTTTCTTTTACAATTTCAACTTGCATCAGATAAAAAATTATCTATATTTACTTATAGATGATTCTAAAAATATTAAAAGTAAAAAGGATTATTTAATGAGTTTATTCCTAAAATTTGAATCATCTCATAACTTTCATAAAACGTATTACTTATTTTGCAAAATATCGAAATAAAAATTCATATAACTCGTTCGTTATGTGTTAGTTTCCATTTAATTTTTGTTTCATCAGTACCAAAAAATAATGTTTATAGTTTTAATTTTTTTAATAATACTTTTCTAATTTTTATTTCTTATTTTATTTATTTGTTTATCTTACTTTATATAGTGAATCAAGCAAATTCAAACCTTCTCATAATGAAGGCGAGTTTTATTATTTACAAAAATCTGTGCGTTTCTTTGCTCAGTAGGAATAGAGTAATCGCCCTTGAATCAATTTATTTAAAACGTCTCTTTTCTATAAAATTTGCGGAATAATGTGTATGATTATGGTTTTAAAATATCATAAAACGATCAAAATTAACTACCTTATTCAGTTAAACTGATTCTATATAAATCTTAATAGAAATAAAAGTATTTGATGCATTAAACTGAATTTTAGAAAGTAGGTTTTTTCTTAATTGTAAAATTAGGTATCAGAATATCTTAAACTAAATATAACTAAGTCTTATTAGAATATATCTTAAAACTAAATCTTCTTACTTAATACAAGTTGGTCTTATTAAAATATATATAGACTGCGACGGATAAATTATCGTCTAAATTACACAAAAAGGAAAATAATACTGACATCTCATTTTAACAGATTTATTTAACAAAAATATTTTGAAATACTACAGAGTAAATTTATTCAATAAAATCGCCATTGGCTTCAACCATGGCCTCTAGACGACTTTAGAATCTCCTGCAATTCTTCTGGACAGTTTCTTTGTTTAAGTTGGTGATAATATAATCCTTGCTTTCAGTTCATCTTCGGTGTTACAAGGAGTTTTGTCCGTCTCTCACTCAACTGCACCCCACACATAATAATTAAGGGGGTTGCAGTCTGGGGAGTAAGGTAGCCAGATGTAAGGGCTGATGTGTCACAGAAATTGTCTGACAGCCATGACTGTGTTCTGTTTGTGTGCCATGGTGCAGAATCCTCTTACCAGACATAGGGTCTTCCAGCAGTCACTCTCTTGACCCAGGGCAGCACTACTTCCTCCAGGCACTTGATGTAGGACTCTGAATTTCTGTCATTCCCAAATTTCTGGTGGAGTGAATTGCATTATGGTGGCACTTTTTCTCACAGGCCCTACTAGAGTCAACAAAATCAAAAACAAACAAAGCACATGTGCAAAATTGAAAATATAAAATGGCAATAATTTACCCATCACACTCTGTTTCTTACTGGGTCTTATCAAACGATATCTTACTGGGTCTTATTAGTATATATCTTGCTAGGTTTTATTAGAATATATCTTAATATCAGCAGAATATAAAATCATTAACTAATTTCAATTAAAATTAATAATACTATCTTTTAGTTTATTTGTATGTTCTCTAAATGTACATATTTTTAGGATTATTAGGATATTAAAATAAATAAATGTGAATTTTTTACAATTAACCTTTTAGAAGTTAATTACAAACTATTCTGTGGGCATTTATTAAAATTAAGGGATTAAAAAAATAAATTGTAAGTATTTCAAATGCTTCAGAAACTGCTAAATTCAGGAAGAGAAGAATATTGTTATGATTGATGCTGAGAAAGAAATCCAGTAACTTCATTGGGAACCAACAAATATTGCTTGTCATCTTGAACAAAGAAAAATATCTAGAAATATAAAGAAGATAATCATCTTATATGCAGAGGAATGGCAAGACTGAGTGTAGTGTATTAATATGATTTACCTGTTTATTTAAGCATTATATATTAAAATTACTTGATCTCTTTCTGAATATCTAGGATGAGGAATTATCGTTATTTGCATTTGAACTAATATTACCACCTTTGTTACCAACACAATGTTCCAGCTGACCTTTAGGTGTCTTTTGATCCAGGTAACCTTCAGGAAATCTTGAAGTGAACCCTTTATTTAATCTATGGGTAGATTGTTCTTATTTTTCTCTCCAGGTCTAAGGACATCTTGTTTTGTTCTTTTTAGTAATGCTCAGTTATTTCTCATTTTGTATCCACCTAGTCTGAGTCTGTATGAACCAGCCCAATCATTGTACTCAAAATTCATGAACCAGCCCAATCATTGTACTCAAAATTCATGAACCAGTGTTTTAATCTACTAGGCTATTGCACTTGACCAGTTAGTACAGACTTTGACTCAGTGGAAACAGGATAAGCAATGACTGAAAAGTACAAAAAAGAACAAATATCCCTAGATATAGACAACAGAATGATAACATTTTACTCTTGCAGATTAAATAAAGGGTTTAGCTTGAAATTCCCTGAAGGTTCTCCAAGTCAACAGACATCTGAAGATGATTAAAGGGCACATATAAACATTATAAATTATTACTTGATTTATTGGGTAAAAACATTAAAGGCTGTTTTATAATTGTTATCAGGAAGATGACATAATTCTCTAAATAAATCTCTGTATATATGTGCAGGTGTGTGAGGGGTGTTGGTTGTTATTTATTTATTTATTTATTTCAGGGATGCAGCAGATGATGACACGGTTGAAGAAAGTGGATTGCGTTATTGAAATCAGAGATGCCAGAGTATCCTTTACAAAACATTTTCTTACTGCTGTTCTAAAAGTTGATTTAAATTGGTCAGATGTGCAGGTGGTATAATTGATATTGGTGCAGAAAGTGAAATCAGCAAGCTGAGTTCAAATTCTGGGTTAGTCAGTTGCACCTCTGCACAAATACTTTGGGGTAAGGTATGAATTCTTATCTTCACCCCCCCCCAACTAAGCGTTAAATTGCAGTGTCCTCTAACCTTGGATGGCAATCAGTCTAGGACACCTCTGAATTTAAAAAAATAAATAAAACAGGGTTTCATCATTTTAAAGTTAAAATTACAGTTGAAATCCAACCAATGCTTTTATCCACTTGAGGACTTGAACCAAAGAGTTGTGTGTTCAATACTTGGCTACTGCAGTGATGAACAAAAACTTGGAGAGTTGGGTTAAAGAGAGATAACTGAGATATCCAGAAGCATGGCATGTGGAACTAGAACAATCTACCCCGGTGGATGATATAAAGGATTCAGTTTGAAATTTCAATCACTTGAAGAAGGCTGGAGCATACAATGCCTAAAATGTAATAACTGTGTTTTACAATTCCTGCTGCCATGCAGAGACACCAACACAATGAAAAATGGCCCACAAATTATCTGTAAGTGGTGGGGGGGTGGTTGTAATGGCATCACAAATTTCTACAGCATTGTTAACTTGTTTCCTACCTAATTTGTCATTCTTCTCATTAGATTTTCAAACCCTACACTTGAATACAACCTTCCAATCATTCTGGTTGTGACTAATCTTACTGATTAGTCACAAAGTCAATAAATGCTTCTTGATTGATTTGTTTTTATGACTTATTTAAAACCAGAAAATATTTTTAGATTGTAAGATTTTTGGTGGGTGAGGGAAGGAGATGATTATGGTTTAGTGATACAAGTCTTACTAATCCATATCTCGGTGGGGAGAAAAGGTGGATTAATACCTTTGCCAAGGGTATTAAAGTTGCAGTTTTGTTAGTAGACAAGGGTATTTATGTATAAGTGAACATAATTGGAACTCAGCTCTCTGATTTCCAATTATGAGCCATTATGCATTACACCAATGGACACATCCAAGCTTAGAGCACCTGTTATTCCCAAGTTGTTACCCATCTAGGTACTGACCAAACTTAACATTGCTTAACTTCGGTGATTATAAGAGAACTGGTGTTTCAACATGATATAGCCATAAGCCTTGATACTTGCAGCAGGCATGATATTCTTATTAAGAAATATGTCATCAATATATGCCAAAATTGCTTTTCAAATGAATTCATTTTGTGATGTCACAAATCTCGAGATCAGTGGTGCTATGTTGAACCCAAATTCTAAATCTTGTAAGGCAGTTCCTCTTCCCTTAAACATGACTGAAATGGCCACCATGACTCATGAAGATGCACTTGCAGGTATGCTTTCTTGAGATTAATCATAGATATGTTTTTAACTTATTCTCCTTCAACTTGTTAGTGCAAACATCCAGATTGGCTGTAAATATATCAAAATATCCATTCAATTCTTTAGTCCAATACAATGTGCGCCATCTCTTTTTTTCTTCTTTTTTTAAACATGACAGCCATCAAAGGAATCTAGTCCTTGGAGCCTAAATTTCTACTCTGAGTACATTAGTAATCAGCTCTTGTCAATCCGCATATAAATTTTTAACTTATGCAGACATGAGGAAATCTAAAATCTTATTCTGGATCTTTTCAGGCTCTCGGTTGTCTGAAAATTTCTATACAGCAGTCCAAATTTTAAGCTGAAAGTAAGTTCATCAATCCAAATGGCAGTGTTCACAGCTACTTCTTCCTCAGTAAAATACACTATTGAGTGATCTAGATGCCACCCAATATCTTAATATCATTAGGTTAGAGAAGGCTGTTCAATCATAATGTCTTTCTGTCTACTAAAAAAAAATCAACCTTAAGTGAATCTACATTGCACGTGGCATGGTTGATATCTCCAACTCTAGTTTTCCCAGTCAGTTCATCCTTATCTTCCTTTCTCCATGGCTGATAAACTGACTCACATTCAAGCAGAAACATCCAGAATTCACAAAAGCCATACACAGTAATGCATCAGTTACATGTAATATCATGTTTATTTTGCCTTTTTGAAGACTGGTGCTGATGTGTTCCCTACCATTGTTTACCAAACAATCTGACTAAATGAGATCTAACACTTGTCATTGAACTTGTTTTCTTGATCTTCATCTGTAACGTCGATCCTCTCACATGGTTTCAGCTGTGGGGTTAGGATACAGTGTCCATGTGACACTGTATCCTAACCCCACTGGGTCGACATCATCCACAAAACCGGCCGTTGGTCCTGTATGGTCCAGTATTGCAGGTTGGTGCCTGGTTTCAAATGTCGATTCGATTCCACTCACCAGCCACATTGTGATTTTTGATCCTGGTGAGTAGTTATCAGGTAGTGAACTTTCGAAAGCTCTCCATTGGTCTACCTGTAAGCTTGTTGAGTGAGAATCGGGTTAACCGCAAATAATTATGGCCAAGTCAATACGATTTTAGAGTGACAAAAGTTTTATATATATAACATCAACAATACATATAATAATATTCTCATGGCAAAAAGTTGAATGTCTCTTGTATATGAACAATGATCAACAAAAGAAAATAGTTCATGTAATTTCGTTAAAGGAGAGAGGTGGCTTTGTTTTAACCCTTTTTGGTCTGTTCTTAGCACAACTACTACACATGTGAATGTTCCCATCCTCAGTAGTAGTAATATTAGTGGTAGCAGGAGCAGCGGTACTTATACCAACAGCACATGTTAGCAGGCACTTTGTTCCAATCTCTAACGTCACTTCCTCACTGTCTCTAACCCAACTCCGCTCTGCTCTCAACCCAACTCTGCTCTTCTTCTGATTGGCTTCCCTCTTTATATAGAGAACTGGTGATGTATTTGTTTTTTCTAGAGTGAACATACTGACATACTTTTATTAGGAACGGGATTGACACATTTCCTGACACACTTCTAAATTAAAACTTCACATTCGCTTCATCTTTCAGTACCCTGACTGTATTGCCATTGTTCTAAGTTTATCTATTAATAGATCTGAGCAATATTGGTAAACTTTACATAGATTCATGCTGTCTTGTTATTGATAAAATTAACCTTTAGATCAAGACATTCTTAATTCTATCTTCTATTAATGATCTGATATCTTTTGTATGCTTAAAAAAAGATTGTATTTCGTTTTCTAAATAAAATCTGTAACATTAATATTTGAAAGTTTTTACAGCATATCAACATCTTGGTTATTTGAAATTGCCTCTCTACACTTAGTGTTTTCTATTTCACAGCATCCCTTTTTTTTTTTTTTCATTATTATTATTTTGGGGTGATATTGCCCCCGCCACACATCCGTGACTGCTTCTTATCCTTCTTTATTGAAGCAAGAAACTTATTGCCATGTGATTAGGTCCACAACACCTGTAGAACATAAATATGGCCATTTCTTGGTTTTCTTTTGGTGTTAATGCCACCATTTTGTAAACAGACTGTGGCTAGATCAAGGCTTCCACTTTAACCTTCGGTATTGCACTTGAGCCAATAGTTGGTCAACATTCATCAAACCAATTCATGAAGAGGTGCAAATAAGCTGCTTTATATTTTCCAAAAGCACAGCTACAAATGCACAGGACAAACAGCAGTTAGATACTCTGCCAAACAATATTGATAATTTGGGTAATTTTGTCAAAAAACACATCCACAGTTTTACCTGGATGCAGCCACCTTGCTGTGAATCATTCATCAGCTACAAATAAATTAACTGTAAATATTGTATGCAAAGCTTCTTTTATCAGTTATTGAAGTCTTTCTTCTTTTACTCTCTTTTATTGTTGGTAGATGGCAAATGTTTCACCAAATAGACAAAGTGGAATGACACCATTAATTTTCTTTATATCACAAATGTAATATACCAGTTCCCGATTTTTACATCTTTTCAACCATGTTAACATTAGAATTGTTGAACTTGGATATGTGATACCTACCCTCCTATATGATGGTGAAAGTGGAGCAGTTTTTGTCACAAATTAATTTTAAAGATTTGGCAGAAATAAGATATGGTTTTATTGAGAAATGTTTAAAATGCCAAAAATAGAGCATGAAAAACAAGGAAGTGATAAATAGAATAGTAGGTATAAGGCATGATGGAGTAATGGATAGCAGCTCGAATTGAGGAATCTGAGTGCCGAGTTCAAATTCCAGTTGAATTTATTACATTCACTTACGTGCTAATATCCTTGGGAAAGGCATGAATCCTCTTCTTCTCCCCCAGCTATTAGTAAATAGCAGGACAGACTGGGTTCTATAGCCTTGGATGGCAACTGGCCTACTTCAGAAAAAATGGCAACCTACTGCAGGAAAAATCTGTCTCGTCAGTCATGTATCAAAAAGATACATGATCGCCTAAGCATGTATCATGCATGGCACATAACTGAAGTACAAAGAAACTGCTAAAAACAATGAGGTAGATGATATTTTGGGAACATAATGAAGAAAGATGACTTGGAGAATTTAACACTTAAAACAAATATTCAGAGGCAAGAGAACTAGAGGAAAACAGCAAGTCATATACTTGATAAATTTATAGAAATTCATTGAGGAACAAGTAACACAAAGATAAAGAGATATCATATAAAAGTATTTCTGAGAGCAACAAAAAACAGGACACTGTGGAGAGCTATGATCAGCTGGGTCTTGAAAAGACATGGCCTATACAGCGATAACTCTTTAAGGTTCACCTTGGTAATATGTCTTTATAATTGACCTGTTTATAAATTTGAATCAAATGTCTTGGAAAAAAAATTCATGCAGCATTGCAATGAAATTCTGTGAGAAATTCTTAAATATCTTGACAGTGATAACAGTTTTATTAAAATTGTTTAGTGGCCAAAGTATTC